TCAAACAATATTCTTTTGGGCAACAAACAATAATATTAACCAATAACATCACAGCCTACTCTTTACGATCCAATCAAATCCCGATGGATAAAATCAGGTCCCGCCCTGCATTCCCACTCCATATTCTGCGTCACGCTGTGGAGGTTAAATGCCTTTTGAGTGTCGTTTCATGTCGTGTTTAATGGGAACCAGCAGCTCCTGGGCAGAAGGTAATCCGCATATACATGTTATTTACCTCAGTGGCTTTAAACTTCTGTTCTGCAGATAATAATACGCAGATGAAGACTGTGATGTCTCCCTCATGGCGCTTGCCCTTTAAGAGTGTTTGACTTCAGATGTGAGCTTAGGGTTATTGTAGAGATTCTTCAAACTGGATTAAAACCGAAATGTTTGTTATGAACATGAAACCCTGAGAGATGAACCGAGGCGAATATCAAACAACATGATTCAGGCTTTCATTACAGGCCACCGCAGTGCTCTGTTCTTCATAAAAACAGCTCATCAGTCATAACATCAGTCAGCCTGCTTCTTGTCTGTGATTTTACTATATTTACCCTCCTTTTATCTGTTTTGTTTTTATGTTGTCTTTCTGCTCTTTATGATGGGCTCACTTTTGAGCAAATGAAAGGCACTTTCAATTCCAGTTTTAAAGATAAACAAAGTCGAGTCGTGGATGGTGGCCCAATGGTTAGTAATCTAAGCTGGTAACACAACGGTTTTAGGTTCATTCCTCAAGCAGAGAGCAAAGGTCACGGCAATAACCCATTAGCCGGTGTTTACATGTAGTCCGTGCATTCAGGGGTGAGACCACATAAAAGCAAAAGAGCAAACCGAACGCTGTGAGTGTGTGTTAGAAATCAGGAATGGTGAGAGAACATTGTGATTGGTACATTTTTCCTCTTCAAACCAAACTTGGGTCTTCAGCCGACAGTTTAAATCCCGTCTGGCTAGAGCTCTTCCCATAATGTTACTCATTAGGTCAGTAGACGGTATTGTGTGTCTGTTTGAACACACTCGACCACATGAGCGTTTACACTACGAAAGAAATCCGGTCGAATGTGTTTTCGACAACCTCTGGAAGAGGTCAAATGCGTCTTTTAGTTTTAGGTTTAGCGTCTTCCTCTTGTGAACCGATCGTCCAAAGCGCATCCTAATATCAGGTGTAAACAGGGCCTTAGTGCAAATTTACATGCTGTCACACTGGATAGTTTCAATGTACTGTAATTGGCCATTTTTTGACTATAGTTTAACTAATAAATTGAGTAGTTCATAGTTTAGCAAGTAACATTTTCAATGGCAACACTTAACTGAGACCTGTAATATACTGTATGCAAGTACTGTACACAAACACCTTAAAGGAACACGCCGACTTTTTGGGACTTTAGCCTATTCACCTTATCCCCCAGAGTTAGATAAGTCCATACATACCTTTTTCATCTCCGTGCGTGCTATAAGTCTGTTTGACGCACCCACCGCTAGCCTAGCTTAGCACAAAGACTGGATGTAAATGGTTGCAGCTAGCATACTAATCCCAATAAGTGACAAAGTAACGCAAACATTTTCCTATTTACATGTTGTGATTTGTATAGTCACAGAGTACAAAAAACAAAGTCACATGAGACACAGACATATTTTAACCGTATAAATCCTGGGAACTATATTCTCTGAAGGCGAAGCACTGCTACTTGGGCGGAGTGATAACCGCAGCACCTGAGACGCGCCGTGGTGAGGAGCAGAGAGTTCGTCTCAGGTGCTGCGGTTATCACTCCGACCAAAAAGTCGGAGTGTTCCTTTAAGTTACACAATATTCATGCTTTGTTGTGCAACCGTAACACAAAAATGCATTTTAAATATGCACAGTGGCCACATGCACACAATGCATTGACTAAGCTCTCACGTTTACATACTAGCGACTGTGTTGCAGGCTTTTTATTTTAGGTCTGTACTTATGTTGAACCGTGTGTGTGTGTGTGTGTTTGAGGGGACAATGTTATCTCTTTCCTCCTGAAGCTGTATTATTTATTAAACATTTTGTGCAGTCGGCGGCACCCCCTCCTCTACAGCCGCTCTCCCTCCTTCTTTCTCTCGCACTCATGTTCAAAGAAAACGTTTAATCTTCCAGATACATTTTAATGGCTGCATTTAGTAGCTTGGCACTTTTATCATCAAAGCTTGTGTTAGAGCTTGTATGATTGTTTCTCGGGTGAAATGAGTTAAATGACTCAAGGCGTATGATGGCGAGAGTTAAAGAGGGACCGAATGCAGAAGAGATCTCTTGGATAAAACGCGGGCGTACTTCACATCGAAGCCAACAGGAAATGTTGTGCTGCTACAAAGCACATTGATTTAGGTATTAAAATGAGTCTGATGCCTTTTCTGTGAGTCATCTATTGCTCATAAACTGTTGGAGATGCTAACAATATTATTTGTACACATGTAAGATTGAGACTGTGTTTCAAAAACTAGCGAGCTGCCTAGACATCAGTTTAAGGCATGTATC